CAGATGCATCATGTACAGGTACAAACACCCAATGATAAATGTAAATGTATTGTATACCTAAAATGTACCAATAAAAGAATTTTTTTAAAAAATGGAGTACTACTCAGCCATAAAGAACGAGAAACTAAAGACATTTATAGCTAAATGGATGCACATTGAGGCCATATGCTTAAGTGAAATAAATAGGACACACATGTGAATACTGAACTGTTTCTCTGGTGTAAGAAACTAAGGGTAAATAAGGATCAAAATGTATAATTGATAGTGTGAAATAGGAAGAAAAGGTCTAAAAGGGTAGGGGGAGTGGGAGGGGTAGGGGACTGGAAAGAGAAAAGGAAAAAAATGGAAACAAGTCTTTGTAAAGAGGGAGGGGTGGAGGGGTTGGAGGGCAGGGGAATGCGGAAAAAATAAGAACCAAGATATATCATGTAAAGGTACAAGTTCCTAGTGATGAATGTAACTGTATTGTATACCTAAAATGTACGAATAAACTTAATGAAAAAAAAAACTTTCTGCACTAACGTTGGTGTTTTTTAAAATTTAATTTTGTGAGACTGGGGATTGAACTAGGGCCTTTGCATTACATCATCAGCCCTTTTAATTTTGAATCAGGGTCTTGCTAAGTTGTCCAAACTGGGCTCAAACTTGCAATCTTCCTGACTCAGCCTCTCAGAGTGCTGGAATTATCAGCACATGCACTGCTGTAATTTTTTCGTTTGAGGGGACCCTAAGAGAAAGCACCAGGAAGCCCTACTGAGAAAATGGCCTAGTAAAGTATCACCCCACCCAAGTGGAGTGTTTTGCATCCACTAAGCACAATTGGCTTGCTCAGGAAAGTTAAATAACAGCACTGTGGGAAGAGGAAACCAGACAACAGTAGAAAGAATGGGGAGAGTGCTGGGGATTTAGCTCACTGGTTTCATTGCCTGCTGCACAAGTGCAAGGACCGGAGTTCGATCCCTGGTACAAAAAAAAAAAAATGCTGCATGACTATCTGTAAGCAAAGGGACTTTTTAAGAAAATTTGTTTTTACATTTTTGGTTTTTTCCAAATGTATTATAATGAGTACTTAGTCCCTAAACACTTTCTGTGGTTAGAACAGAAGCATATAATGTGGAAAGCTCCCTCCTGGGTGAGGTAGACACTGGCAACCTGCACGTGTCCTTTTGGCAGTTCTGGGTCTCTTTGTTCCCTCCAGTGTGGAGCCCATGGTCCTGAGGCAAATGAGCTGAGGACCCTAGCTGGGCCTAAAAGGCACACAGACAGGCACAGCAATCTCTGAGAGTTCTCTTTGAAGGACACCCTCATTTCCCTGCTTATGGCCCATATCTAACTTGCATGGCCATGGCCCTTACTCCAAAAAAAATGACCTTAACTGAGAAAGCGGGGGGCCAAAGCATTCTGTCAATGGCCTGTGCAGGTAATGGGCTGGCATGGTGCTGGCACCAGAACAGGCACAGCAGGGCATCAGGATGGCCACCAAAGCTCATTAGCAATTTTCATTAATTCCTTGGGCCTATTTATACCTCGAGATTTGTAACCTGGTTTCCTGGCAGAGAACAGATCAGAGTTGGACCAGAAAAGTACAAGAGGCAGGGATACCCTAATTGAAGCTGCCCAACAGCTCTACACAGAGCAGAATCCAAAGCCTGCACCTGGAAGCAGTTACACTGGAGGCTGCAAAGCTGGCCACAGATCACAACCTCCTTAGAAGCTACTCTAGTTGCCAAGTGCACCTGACAACATCCCCTCTACTGAGCTCCCAATCATCACAGTACATCCCTCCTCTGCTGAAAAGCCTCAAAGTGCCCCATCGGCTCAGAATTGAGCCAGTCATCCAAGGTCCCTCAGGCCTGGAGCTCTATACCCTTCCCAACTTTATCTCCTTCTACAACATTCAACAAGCACGGTCTCCCTCCACTGGCAGCCTGTGTCCCAGCTGTTCACTCTGCAGACTGCATTATGATCCTTGCCTCCTTCAGGTCTTTGCTCAGATACCACATCCTCAAGAAAGCCCTCACTAAAGCCACACCATGTCCCACTTACAGTGGTGGACCCCCCGCCACAACCCCACATCTCAGCACCTAACCCTGCTCTATTTACTGTGTCACCATCCTCTAGCAAGCTGTAACTTATTATGGATTTTGCAATGTTTCCCTCTTGCCACCCTACTCAATTGTCAGCTCCACAAGGGCAGGGATTTAAAACAGAAGAATGAAAATATCCACACCTATAATAGGAAACAGTGAGATAGGTCTTTTTTTTTTGGTACTGGGGATCGAACTTGGGTCCTTGCGCTTGCACAGCAGGCGGTGAAACCACTGAGCTAAATCCCCAGCCCAAGATAGGTCTTTTGCAAATGGGGCCAGGGATTTAGCTCAGTGGTTTCACCGCCTGCTGCAAATGGGAAGAGGACCAAGACATGGATGGAGGGGGAGGCGGGAAGGAGAGAGGACGTAAAAACAATCAAGATGTGTTATGTACATGTACCAAATCCCCATGATGAATGTAATCAATATGTACTGCAAACATGTACTAATAAAAATTTAAATTAGAAAAAAATAGATAAGAGTCACAGAGGGGTCAGGGAACCAATGCTGCCCAAAGAAAAACCTTTGTAAAAAAGAGACCAACTGAACAAGAACATATCCAAGTTCCGAAAGGCCAGTAGCTGAAAAGCAGAAAGAAACATGAGTCTGGAGTATGTCATGTAGTAGAGAAGGGCTTTGCTTTTTGCATTGTTTTGATTTTTTAAAAGGCAATAATGTGGTTATTATTTTAATGAAACTAAATTAGAAATGGACCTGTAAAATGACAAACCTTGAATTTTTGTGAAAAAAACCCCAAATGCTACACCAAAATACAGGATTTACAGGGGCCAGGGATTTAGCTCAGTGGTTTCACCGCCTGTTGCACAAGCGCAAGGACCTGAGTTCAATCCCTGGTACCAAAAAACAAACAAACAAAAAAACCACAGGATTTACAAAAGCAATGAGCAGAGAGGGTTCAGATGCTTTAGATGGCCAGGCTATGCAACTTCATGGTACCTGCCGAGAGCCACAACCTGGACCCTAGACCTCCACCTGGCCACACAGAGCCATACCCAACAGCAAAAACCAATAGTCATGGAAGGGACAGGTGTGCAGTTTAACATCCACATAGAGAAACATATTTTTAATAGTTCCTTGTACTTGTAGAAAAAAGGCACAGCTGTCTTCATTTAAACAGAAAGTTCCATCCTTTCATTCACTCACTCAAGAGCCTGCTTCATAGAAAGGGGGGGCTGCAACCAGGTTGCAGCACTGGCTGTGAGGGTTCAGTCCTGCAGTTTTCGCTCACATTTCTTCTCTAGATCTGCCATCTCCTTCAGGACCAGAGCCACACTGTACCGCAGCTCCTGGAACTTGGCCATGGGGACCTCAAAGCGGTGTGCTGACCCATCTGAAAGCTTGAGCTGCATCAGGACACTTGGCTGCAGGGATCGGGCCAGGGTACTTGTGGAGATTGCCACATCTACCCTCCACCGAAAGTCAGCAAGGTGAGGCAGCCAGGCCCCCTGCTGCTGGGCCATAGAATCCAGGAGGGGGCGCTGGCTCCCAAACACCACACTGGCCAAGTCTCCAACTAGGTCTTGGGGGATGCCAAGCTCCTGGAGCTGGTCCTCGAAGGCATCGAGCTTCAGGCTGGTGGGGGGCAGCCGGAGAGCCTGCTGGAGCAATGTGTGTGTTCCTGCAAGCAGGGCACCCAGCCGCTCCTCTGATAGGTTGGCACTGGAACCAAGGCGTTGTACGGCCTCTTGGCAATCCTCCCCTTGAAGGCTGCTGACCACAAGCTTCAGCAACTTCCTGAACATGCTCCTGTCCAGGTCCTCTAGGAGCCGGGGCATTGCTGCCAGCTGTGGAGGAAGCTGAGCCCCCAGGAAATTGACTCGGCCACTATGACTGTCAGCTGGATGATGCAGGTACAGAGCTGCAGCCCCCAAGGCAGACATCACTGCTTGCTCCTCCTTGATCAGCCCAGTAGAGACGTCCCAACCTCAGCTTCCTGGAGGGAGAGGGGAGGGAAAAGGCCGATGACTTCTTTAGGGCCTCAAAAGACTAGCAAATGAAGGCTGATGTGGTCCCGTGTGATATGACCAATGAGAGTGTGTGTGACGGGCGGTAGGCAGGTGGCCCTGGGAATGGGTAGAAAAGGGGCCTACCTCAGATATCCCGGAGGAGGTAATATCTGAGATGAGCAGGAGTTAGCAGGGGAGTGGGCAGGGAAGTAGGCCACACATTAAGTCCTGTAAATAAGTAACAGATATAACAATGAACTAGGAGAAAGGACTGGGGGGGGGGGCACCAGGACACAGCAGCTGAGACTCCGGCCCCACACTCGGAGCCCTCACAATACTTCTCAAGAAATCAAACCTCTACATGCAAATGCCCAGCCAAGGACGAGAGCCCAGAAGGTCCGGCTCCCACAGATCTGTGCAGTCTCCACACAGAAGGGGGCTAGGCTATTGGAGTAGGTGCGGCGGTGACTAAGCGGGCTGTGACACTAGCAGAGAGACCGCACAGCATCCTCGCCAAGAAGGAGACGTGGCTCATAGACCTGCGCGCCGGGAGGGAGGCAGACAGCGAGGACCACAGCCCAGACCTCAGGGGGCCGCGCCGGGATCCCCAGGACCCGGTCTGACCGCCGCCGCCTCACCCCCGCCACCTGGCCCTGTCTCCATTCCTGGGAGAACAACCCTACGACCCCACATCCACAAAACCCTGACAATCTCCGCACCTAGCACCAGCGGTCCCCAGCTGCACAACGGCGGCCGGAAGCGGAACCTGTCCGAGGAAGCGCGCCAGAGCCACTTCCGATCCGCTCTAGGAACGCTGGAGGCCCCTCCTCGGTGGTGCGCGGCTCCAGGTCTGAGCCTTGCGTATTACCTTTCGCCCAGTCCTCAGACACTTTATCTTTTCAGAGAAAAGAATATCAAAAGCGCTTGTTTCGGCTTCTGAGGCGGAAGCAGAGACTGTGCCCGGCGTGAATGCGCCTGATGCCAAGGTTCGCATACTTGAGAAGAGGAAGGAATTTCAAGAAGCTGAGTCTAGAGATCGAATTGACATTGACCAGTGACCCGGAAGTCAGCGCACCCCCGCCCCCGCCTTGTCGGCCTCGGCGTCTCTGTGTGATTACCGAACTTGTGGGTGACCCCGTTCTCATTTAACCTGGTTTGCTGAGCCCAGTTAGAACTAGGGTCAAAACAGTGGCATCGCGTACATTTTAACATACTACACTCCAATTCTTTTTCTTTTTTTGGTACAGGGGATCGAACTCGAGTCCTTGAGCTTGCAGGGTAGGCGGCGGAAACACTGAGCTAAATCCCTGACCCTCCAGTTATTAAAAATAGCATTAATATGGGCCGGGGATTTAGCTCGGTGGTTCCGGTGCCTGCCTTGAAAGCGCAAGGTCCCTAGTTCGATCCCCGGTACCAAAAAAAAA